AAAAAAAAGAAAAAAAAAACTTTTTTTAAAAAAAAAAGATATTGACACCTAAACCTTTTTTTTAAACTGAAAAAAAAATTAAATAATCCCCCCCCCCCCCAAAGAAATGTCATGTTTGTCATTTCTTCTTGCTTGCTTTACGATCATAATTAGAAGAAATTCAACATTGATGACAATAGCTGATGAGAATTCTTTCAATAATCGCTGATGAGAATTCTTTCAATAAAATAACGTTATAAGATAGTCTCAGTTATACATATAGACTATACTATATTAAATACGTGTGCTTGTATAAACAGTGTCGTAGCTAAGGGGTGTGGACCGCACCGGGTGACACCATCCCAAGGGATAACAACAAATTGAAGCACACTTTGCTCGGTCTAACCGAATTTCATAAAAGGATCACACTTAAATTTTCCACAAATGTAACCAAACCCAATGCGTGCTTTATTAAAAGTGCAATGTTGATGAGTCAGAAATGAAGTGAACCTATATTTAAGTCATAAAAAAACCGTTTTGACCGTGATTCGCAACCGATTTAAGTGTTCTGTAACTTTCGTAAGTGACAGGAAGCAATACATCCAAATTCTGAGAAAAATGCATTCCATTGATTTCAAATACGATGTGATCGAGCGATTCTAAGTACATGGATTGTTGAGTGTGTTGATCACTTTAATTCTGAGCCCCAGATTAGATCATCAGCGATCAAGGATGTAGCATATACTTTTTGGGGGGTGTTCAACCCAAGGGTCTACTATCAGCAGATGAAGAAGAGTTATAGGTGTCCGTTCAAAAGATTAACCTGTTTCTATGATGAGTTATCAAAAGATGAACCTTAAAACGAAATACGAAGGCTTAGAAGACACCTAAAGGCAGCTGATATTGAATTTTTAAACTTCATGTATTAGTCAGTATTTGATGTTTAGACATTCATAGCTGAATGGGACTTCCTAGAATCTCTTCCAATACTCTCGCTAAGCCTTCAATTGTGCAGGCCCGTTCTTAGGCATACGCTGACTACGCATCCGCGTAGGGCCTCGAACATGAGGGGGCATGCGTGAGGCGCCCTCGATCCCCCGATTTTTTTTAAAAACTGGCACTGCATCCGTCTGTGTCACTCACGTTACCTTCCTCATCCTGAAATTTATCATTCTGAGTTGAATTCGGAGGCAGGGGAAGGGAAGCAGCAGGGAGAAGCTTTGGGGGTGGCTGACAGGAAATCGGGGGCTTGGTCGTGGGAATGGGAAAGAGGAAACATTGATGGAGGCAGAATGGAGGTGCCGCAGTGGTGGGTGGTGTTTTCTCCTCAGCTCGAGGGAGCTCCACCCCGGACCCCTCCCCTTCCGGGGCCCCAAACCTACGCTCCATGCTTAGGGCCCCCAAACTCCTAAGAACGGCTCTGAATTGTGTCTTACAATCTGTGTTTCTGTGGCTTCATGTGAGCGTTTTTTTTCAAAAGCATGGCTTAACTAGAAATTTTTACGATCCACCATGGGACAGTCAAGGATTTCTGATCTGGCTCTTCTATCATTTGAAAGTGACTCGGTGAAGGATATTGCTTATGATCAAATGATTGACAGGTTTGCAATTTTAAGACCAGGAAAGGAACATTTTTAAATAAATTAAATTTAATGTAAACATAACTATAGCTTAACGTTTTTATAGTTGTTAAATACAATCACCTCCTAATCTTCAATTCATTTGTATTGTTCTTGTCATTGTTATACTGTGGATCTATAACTAACAAGAAAAAAGTCATTGTGGAAGTCGGGTGAAGGGGGTGACACCATGCCTTAAATTCCTTTACCGCACCGGGTGACACCAACCCTGGCTACGCCACTGGGTAATAAATGTTTGAGTTTAAAAAAAAAAATAGTTTGTTTATTTTAAAACGGTGTTGTTAAAAATATTTATTTGCACATTTTATGGAGATTTGAAATATTTTGTATGTTTGTTGAGTTAGCAACCGTGGTAATGGTGGTGAGTTTTAAACTCAAAAATTAAAGAAAAGGGTGTAGTGTAGGCATATAATATAAATATAGCATTATATGTAAGTTAAACTAGTATATTTTAAAACAAATATTTTAAAGATTTACGTTAAAACGTAGGCATTTAATTAAAATTAAATTGATAATTAACTAAACTTAATTCTAAGTTAATGTGCATTATTTAACAAATTTAGTAATTTAGTACCGGTAAGTAAATTATTACTTTATTAAATTTACGTTAGTTATTTTAACTTTAAAAATTTTAAGAAATTATTTTAAGTTTTATGAAACATTAATTTTAATATTAATTAAGAAAGCGTAACTCATTTTAAATGTATTTTTGTCAAATTAAATATATTTTAATTCCATATGCCTGCGTGATACTAACCTGAAGCATTTATTAGGTTTAAAGCAACACGGGACCATATTATTATGATTAATTTTATAATTTTAAAATATCCTTGAGGGAAAACTTTTTGGGAATCAGGTAGATTTCCGTGGCTATCCGGGTGATACAAGTCTTGACTTCCTTAGAACGTACAAAAGACTATGATGATCAGAACTAAACAAAGATTAGAATGTAGAAGCCGTATAATCAATATTTTAATATTTATTTATATTGCAGAAACTAATGATAAATGCGCTAGCAGTTTTACCGCGGAATAACAGGTCAGTTTAATTAAAATTTTGCTTCATCCACACAAAAAACAAAACAAAATAAAATAAATATAAATAATAAAAAACAAAATTTGTATTTTTTATATTTGATTAATTCATTAATTAAAAAAAAATTGGTGGGGGAGGGGCAACAATGAAAATTGGCTTCAGATAAAATAGGAAACTGTAGCACAGAGCCTAAATATAATAATATGAACTTGTTTTATTTGAGAATCTTATAAACAAGGCTCTAAATATTATAGTTATATTATAATGGTGTTTGTTAAAATATCATACAATTTTAAATTAAATTTGTTGTAGCTTCTCAATACTGCGGCAAGTTATAAGTTACATCGGATAAAGTTGTATGTTTACTTAGGACTAATTCCATTAAATGACTCAGGCTGCCGTATCAGTAGACACATATTTAATAATTGTTTTCATTAGTTTCAAGATGGTGGATGTTTTCCCAACATGTCATGGCCATAGCCTTAGGCTTAGCATATATGTCAATTGCTAACCTAGTTAGCATTTTTGGAATAAAACCTTTCTTTATCCAAGAAATTGTTTAAAAAATCCATGATAATGACTGATAAAAAGCAAAATTGATTTAAATAAATCTTAATCGTAGTTTTATTTCTTAGCTCAAAATTACACAGCACAGCTAACCAACTCCAACGCCAGTAACTGTAACGGCAACACTAACACACGTCACGGCAAGGTAAACTAATAAAACTAATTTAGAGAATTTAGTAGTCTAACGTCTAATGTAAATAACAGTATATTATAATTATAAGTATTTTAACTCATTTGTGATGTAGCCTTAATATTTCAAGGCTGTCATTGCATATTTTGGGGAACACTTAGAGTCTTAAACTTAAAGAAAATTGATATTAATTTAAATGTTATACCCCACTTGAACTTCAAGTTGGAGATCACACACACTGTACTATGTTGCACAGATAATGATCCCACATGAATTACACCTCACACAAAATCAAAAGACAAAGGAATTCCTCATGGAATTTACAGTAAAAAATAATAATTGTTTATCTTCTGTGGTAAAACATAATGCATACATATTTACATTATGATACATTCTTTTGACCCCATAAGATGTGTTTTAAATAAAAAAATGTTATGTAAATATGAAAGAAAGATTTGTGAATTCTATAATAATTTCTAAAATTCCGGGCAGCCTGAATTGGCAATTACTTAGAAAATCGATGTGTGGAACACTATGTGTGACAGTGTGAGGATTAACTTGTGTTTGTTGATCTTAAAAGGGACAAAACATCACATAATCTATGTAATTGTAATAAAGGAATAGATTAATAAGACACAAAAAACCAACATTTTAGCTATTTAAAATTTGACATAGCTGCAATATTTTTTTTCCTATTTGGTTTTTAAATTTTAATTCAAGCCACTTCCATTGCCTTTACTGTTCTTCTGAACTTTGTTTTTGTTGGGGACTTGTGCCCATTCCTATCCTTTTCTTTCACTTTTAGGGAGGATACCTATATACAGTAAATATATATATTATGTAAATTTAAACTTATATAATTTTTTGTTGTTGTTTGTTGTACCAATGAAGGCATTAGCCAAAACGTTTACATTTTTATTCTGTATAAGTATAATCATTATTAAAGATTAACCTATATTGCTTTGTTTGCACATTGTTTTTGTCTTATTAATCTGCTTGAAAGCCTTAACACACTGCAACTTTCTTATAATTAGTTAATCAAATGAATGAGAGGTCAATGTCATGAATAATAAATAGACCTAGTTTTTAAATATACTCTAGCTAGCCTAAATTTTAGTGTGTTCTTCTAGCTTTAGTTAAAAAAATAAATAATCGGCCTAATTTATTTCAACTTGTTTGAAATATATGCTCAAAAAGGGCATATTATAAAAAAATAATTTAATATCCATTAGATATAGAAATGGAAGAGGAAAGTGGAGAAGCTTTTTCACACTACACACCACAACATCCATTGCCAGAAGAAATTAAGAAACTCACCAGAGATAAAACAGTAAGTTATTTCATTGTTGAGTGCTTCCATGTGCAATTTAGCCCACCATTTCTTTTGATGAAATGTTTCACTAACATATATATTCTACTCCTAAATCAAAGCAAGCTATCTTAATACTAAAAAAAACTTATAAGGAAATGAATTCTCAAAATGCTAAGAGTCAGGGCCTGTAAAATACAATTTAAGAATTACAGTATTATATTTTCTTAGATTAAAAAAATAGAAGCATAACATGTTGAACTATTTATAAATTTATTATGAGAGCAAATTATGGAAATGTAAAATTCTGTTCCATCCTTAAATTTCCTGCAGGTTTGTAAATATTGTGGTGTGAGTTACCTGATACACAATGAAATAAAAGCTTTAGAAGAAAAACTGAAAGTGGCAGAGAAAGAGTTATTTAATCTACGGGGGCTGGAAAAGAGGGAAGCATTATTAAACCAGGAGATCGTTATGATGAAACAGCAGCTGGAGGAGGCACATATGACTGTTGATGCAAACACTAAACTGTATGTATTGTAAACATTACATATTTTAATAATTATAACAACACTAGAAATACAGTGCAAGAAAAATGACGACAGCAATGCTTGAAATTCCCATCTACTAAAGTTAGCGGACATTCATAAATGACGCAAATCATGATGCAAAATTTTAATACCCCCAATCATAAAAATTGTTTCACAAAAGTGATAAAATATCACTGCCCTAAAATATAATGTCACAAACCTCTGCACCCCCTCTCCCTATAAAAATCCCTCTTTCCTCTACTGTCCTTTACAAACCCTTAAAAAAAATCATATTCCATGGATATGGAATTACTTCAAAAACATTAACCAAGAAAATTGGTTCCTAAGCAGTGGTGAAAGCATCCCCTGTGGTGCAGAAAACCCAGAAACTAAGTTGCATTAGCTGCCTTTGCTAGTTGTTCGTGCCTTTAAAAATATAATAAGTTTTTTTGTATTTCGATTAGCAGCAGAATTTAAATTTTTATTCTGGTGAATTTTATTTGCACATTATGTAGCTAAAGGATAAGAATCTATGTCCTAGAACATTCATTCTATCAGTAGTTTAAAAATAAAATAATTATAATTTTTGTATAATACTATAATGTTAATGATGTTTGTAATTTAGTGTTATTAAGTGAATTTTTTTCAGCAATGCTCTGCTTTTATTTGGCCATCACATTGCTTTAACGCACCTCACCCTCATCACACATTGTCACAAATATGTCATCCCCCCCCCAACCCCCTAGATGCATGAGGTGATTTATGGATGGCCCCTTACTTGACTAAATGTGCATTCTAAGTAAAGTAGGCCTACTTTATAAGAATCCCAATTATGGCTAACTTAAGGGAATTTTATTTTTTTCAACTATTGAACACAACATTACAACCATAAATACATAGCTAGAGCATTATTATTTGTGATGAGAATTATTATTTGTGATACAATTAAAAAAATAACAACCATTGCTTGTTTTTTGTGTACAAATGCTTAGGTCTCAAAGGTGTCTTACAAATAATAAACTCAGATAAATAAATAAGTAAATATGAAAAATAGTAAAATGTATGGTTTATGTGGAGAAAAGACTGACATACAGTTTTGGCATATCCCTTAGGCACAATAGGCTATAGTATCAATCAACTTCATTGTTTTTCATCAAAAAATTTTTTTCAACATTTTTTAATTTGCATCCAATGAACTTGTAATCTTGATTAAAATATATGAAAACAAAATACTAAGCTTTGCTTTCACTTTCTAATTTCTTATTGATTTTAGTGCTAGTATATGTTTCTTTATGTTCATATCTTCGACCTTTTCTGTTTGCTTTAGAATGTTGTTCAGGCTTTCACACACTCTATGTTTCTATGTCAACTTAGGCTTTGTTTGATTTTGTTATTATCTTATTTTTAAAGCCTAAATAATTTAATGATCACATCATACGACTTGTTTCAACAGGATATCTACTCTGAACAGAGAAATTAATGAGGTCAGAGAGAAAAATAAAGCATTAGATGAGGCGCTTCAATTATACAGGTTCTATAATGTTAAAAATAATACATTTTCCGCCTATACTTCAATATTGTTCATTTTGAGAGGACAATATTTTTGTCTTGATTTAAGCATTCTGATTATTTTATTAAAAAGTCTTTTCTTTTACATCTTTATCTCTTCCATATTATTTGCAATCATGTCATCTATAGAATATTATATTTCCTAATTTACTCAGATCATAGTTTTTTAAAGAACTAAATTATTTGTTCCTTTTGTTGTCCAAAGAAACAAACAAATAGCTAACCTACGCCAATTGAGCAAGTTAAAACAGTCAGCCAAACAATGGAAAGATAATCTCAAAGCGATAAAAGAAAACTTCACCAGCAACCAGTCAGGAATTCTTGAATGCATGGCAACTGCCTTACAAAATATTAGACTGATACCAGAGTGCTCAGCAAAAGGTAATAAGAAACCTGCCTTAGACTGATACCAGAGTGCTCAGCAAAAGGTAATCAGAAACCTGCCTTAGACTGATACCAGAGTGCTCAGCAAAAGGTAATAAGAAACCTGCCTTAGACTGATACCAGAGTGCTCAGCAAAAGGTAATAAGAAACCTGCCTTAGACTGATACCAGAGTGCTCAGCAAAAGGTAATAAGAAACCTGCCTAAGACTGATACCAGAATGCTCTGCAAAAGGTAATAAGAAACCTGCCTTAGACTGATACCAGAGTGCTCAGCAAAAGGTAATAAGAAGCCTGCCTTAGACTGATACCAGAGTGCCCAGCTAAAGGTAATAAGAAACCTGCAACAACTTTTGACTAAAAGTTTTGAAGGGGAGTTGTGTTAAAATAAAGTCTAAGTCTGTTACTGGTGAAAATAAAGTCTAAGTCTGTTACTGGTTAAAATAAAGCCTAAGTGCAAAAAAAATGAGAGCAGACTGAGAACAAATCATGTTTGAAAATCATAAAACAAAATAAAACAAATCCACAAGTATACTTTATTTGTCAGTTAAAGTTTGTGGGTGCTAACTTATGAATCAGGCCCACCAGGAGTTTCAACCAATAATTTTTTTGGATTATTATTTCTCTCACGGAGGGGTGAGTTAGTGTACTTTCCCACCAAGAGTTGTGGTAGTTGGCTATTGTACTCAGGGATATGGTAGTACACTTTCCTACCAAGGGCTGAGGTATTTTCCCCGACATCTCCATTGCTAGATTATAAATAAACTATCTCTGATATCAGGCATTTTGCTGAAGGTCAATGAGTCAATGATTTATTTATTTGTTTAACCAATGAGACATCACCACATAAATCCATTATTTAACACATTTGGCATTAGCTAATGTGAGTTTAAGTAAGAGGGCAGAGTTAAATAATTTGGAACATGCATAAATAAATATAATTTTCTACACAAGAACAAAAATAGGAACAACAAATAAATTGTGTAAGTTGCTAAAAGTCATCACTTCAGACAAAAAATAAATCAATAATTAATTTAGCTGCTTCTGTTATTCCCCCTCCCCCAACAGAAGTCTCTGGTCTAGAATCTAAAGTTCAATGCCTTGAGATGGAACAGTTGGTTGTCACTCAATCTAACAAAGCCATGACCGAGACTTTAAAGATAAAGGATTCTGAGATAAAGAAAAAGAATGAGGAATTACAAGAAAAAGATTTTGCATTGAATGAACAGAGGTTAGAGTTTTCAAAGTTGGAAGCCAGCATGCATGAGGCATCTGAAAAACTAATTTCATTAAAAAATGCAGAGATCACTCTGAATGGTAAGATCTTAAAAAAAAAAAAAAAAATTATACCAATAAAGAAAAAAACCTTTTTGTTAGTAACAGAACATGGTTAAAGAAAATCATGTCACAGGCATAACTTAACAGAGGTTAGAGTTTTCAAAGTTGGAAGACAGCATGCATGAGGCATCTGAAAAAATAATTTCATTAAAAAATGCAGAGATCACTCTGAATGGTAAGATCTTAAAAAAAAAAAAAAATTATACCAATAAAGAAAAAAACCTTTTTGTTAGTAACAGAACATGGTTAAAGAAAATCATGTCACAGGCATAACTTGTCAGAATTTTAATTTATTTAAAAAAAAATATTTTTAAAAGTTAAATATAGTTTATGTTTAACAAATAAGAGTATGTAGAAAGTAGAAAGATCTCTCCATTGTCAACTTTCATATTTCAAAAATCATTTTGTTCATATGTCATAGAATGTCAAAATCAAGTTAGGATAATGACAGTGGAACTTGATCAATACAAACTACATCTCAAGTAAGTATGGCATTAGGGCCAAGTAAGTATGGCATTAGGGCCAAGTAAGTATGGCCTTAGGGCCAAGTAAGTATGCCATTAGGGCCAGACAATGGACTTGTAGATCACAGGTTGATGATATTTTTGCTTTAATGATATTTTAGAAATAATATGCATTTTCTGACTGATTTAACTACTTAACAAAATACAATTTAAGTTGCATAGCTCATTTCCCATTTCATCTGATGTAGAAAAAATTTTGTTTAACTATCACAACTTCTTTCAGGTCTTTTCATGATAGCACTTTCATAAGGAATTTCTCCATTAGTCTTTAAATTTTCAAAACATGCAGTAGCTTTTTTTCATCCCAGTTGTTTATGGAGGGGTTGGCATATTCAGACCCAACCACACCCCCTCTCTTTATGTGTTACAGACCCAACCACACCCTCTCTCTTCATGTGTTACAGACCCAACCACACCCTCTCTCTTCATGTGTTACAGACCCAACCACACCCCTTCATGTGTGACAGACCCAACCACACCCCTTCATGTGTTACAGACCCAACCACACCCCTTCATGTGTGACAGACCCAACCACAGCCCCCTCATATATGACAGACCCAACCACACCCCTTCAAATGTTACAGACCCCACCACACCCCTTCATGTGTTACAGACCCAACCACACCCCTTCATGTGTGACAGACCCAGTCACAGCCCCTTCATGTGTTACAGACCCAGTCACAGCCCCTTCATGAGTTACAGACCCAGTCACACCCCCTTCATGAGTTACAGACCCAGTCACACCCCCCTCATGTTTTTGTAATACACTCTACAGAACAAAAACATCAGAAATAAATGACTTGTCCAATAAACAGAAACAGCAGGAGCTGGCTATACAGAAGTAAGTCAAGGAAATTTGATTTGAAAGATCTTTGATTACTTGTATTGGTATAATTGATAGGTTTTGACATATTAAGTTAGCTGACAGGGGATTTTAGTTGAAATGCTCTTTACTTTGCTTGACATCATTTAAATTTGTGTCAACCCTATTTGTTTAAAAAGACAGCATGGAAGATAAATCATATTCAATGTGCTTTTGAGATCCATTAATAAAATTATCCTAATTGACTTAATGTTGATGAGCTAAATTATTGTCAAGGCTAAATCAAGAAATAAAAAACAAAGAAAATGATTTGGGGACATATCTGAAGCAAGTAAAAACATTAGAGAACCAGTGTCGAGAGTACCAGAGGAAGGAAATGGAGAGTGCTCAGTCCAATAAACTCAATGCAAGTAAGTTACTTAAAATTTTAAAAACTATTTGTTCTTAAATACAATGCTTGAGAAAAAAAGTCTTTATTTGTTTTGTTAAATAGAGTAAAAGAGAACCAAAAAAACCCCACTATTTTTTAAATAACATAAAGAAATAAAAATTTGTTTGGAACAATTTTATTATGGACAAAGCCATTATGGCTAGAACTGGAAATACAAGGCCTGGGATTTGAAACAGTAATTTCCAAGACTACGGGGGTACATACTAGTTCAATAGTTGGGGTACTTACACCTTGATAGGCCTATATTCCTAAATGTATGCCTATAATATTTTATGAAATAAGGTTGGGGAGGTGCAGAGAATTTTATTTTTATATGGGACTCAGTAAAATAAATTTTGGAAATCATTTGTTCCCATGGTAGAATTACAAGACAACTGTTTGAGTGTCATTAAGACTGTCTGAGTGTCATTAAGACTGTTTGAGTGTCATTAAGACTTTTTAAGTGTCATTGATCAATGTTACAATTTTTCAGATGAGGTTCACGAGCTAAAGGAAGAACTGCAGAGGGTGAAGGGAGATGTGGCTGCATTGAAATCTGAAAGGTAGACAATATTGTTAGTTCTGTCCAAGAAACAGATTCAGAATTTATTTTATTATTGAGAAACCCTTTTTAACTAAACTAACTTATTTTGGAATTCATGGCAAAACATTATATTTATATGTAATGTTTAAAGAAATATATAAAGCAGTTCAAAGAAGAATTAACATTTGATTGCTTTGATCACAGGCGGAAAGAGTTAATAAACAGTCACGTCTGCTTCTTCTTCTTCTCTTCTTATATTTGAGGTGCCCACGATCAATTTGATGATCATTCTGGCTCCTGGTTTAAATTCAGAGTTTTCCTTCTCTTAGATGGGTTGCCGTCCAAGGCTGACGAGTCCCTTCCACCCGGGGTGCTAGGGATGTTGGCTTTGGCGGGGATTGAACTCCGGACTGTTTGGTTTGAGACAGTTTAGACCGCTCGGCCACCCAGCACCCTATCATATTGTTATCATATTTTGTACCTTTTCACTGTTACTTATAATTCAAGAAAATTAAAAAAACTCATGGATTGTTTGTCTCCCTAAAACAGGGAAATGATGATTGAAGCTCACCAAAACAGGATTGAGGACTTGAGAGAAAGCTTCAAAAACAAAATGGCTGAAGCTGAAAACTGGCCACAAAAAGTGACTATTTGATCAATGACCTGAATATATTTATATATTTAGCCATAATGTCATTCTTTCCATCACTAGTTAAACTTAATAAACTTTAAGAAAGAAAAGCTGCTTTTTAAAATATTTTTTTGCAAAATGGCTTCACAGCATATAGAATTAAATTGATATCTTATCTGAAGTAATTAATTAAGAGAGGCAATATATTTATCCATATTTTTGTTTCCATTTAAATCCAGTTACTCGATGTCACATTCTGATTGGTTAAACATAATTTAGTAACTGATTTTAAGTATTTTTATTGTTCACTGACTACAGTTTGGATTAGTGAGTTTATTTAGTTATATATGTTATTTAGTAACATGTTTCATAATTTGTACATCCCTTTTCCCAGCTCCATGATGCAGTTGCTGCAGAGAGAGGACGCCATCTTGCTGAGATGAAAACTTTAGAAGAAAATCTCAAACATCAGTTTGTTATGGTGAATATTTTCAATGCAATTCTATCTAAACAAATGAAAAGGAGATAACAATCACAAGTTCTATTATTGAAAACAAATTACATTTTTCAGGTCAAGAACTTGTTTTCCAAAATGTTATTAGTTAACCAAGCAGAAAGAAAATAAAAGAAGAAACAAATTAATTAATGCATTAGGAATGAACAAAAAGTATGTCTTCTAATTTTACCTTACAACTTCAAATATTATTACAACTTCAATTATTATTACAATTTTAATTATATTACAACTTCAATTATTATTATTAAAAAAAACTTCAATTATTATTACAACTCCATAATAAACACATTTTCTGTTGTTTCGGGTGAAGAAATATTTCAAAACGGTTAATAAAATGGATAATAAAAAAAAATATTATAAATAACCGCCAGGGTTTGATATGACCTTGACCTTGTAAAGCTATTGATAATTTATAACTCTAGAATAAAAAAAGACACCAAAGACCATTCATTTATGAAATTCATTAAGAAATTATTTGTATTCACACAGGAGCTGCAGATAGAAAAGGACAAATATGGTGAGCTGATGAAAAAGTTTCAAGACCAGGAAAAGGAGAAAACCAATTCAGTATGTTTGTAATTAAAGCTTACTTATTTCTAAAACGACAATGTTGTTAAACCTGATCATACTTGAGATACTCACAGAGCCTCATGACTGGTTATGCATTATTTTTTTTGACATAGTCTTATCACATAAAGTTGCCAAGTTTTTCTTGTAAGCCATACAAATTATTTTCTTGTTTTAATGGATTATAAATTTATTTATTTTAGCTCCTTAATTTGGTTTTGTAATATTTCCCTATATATCTATATTGATCTATATATCTAAATTTACCTACATATTTATATTTTGTGGTGGAAATCTTCCACCAAGGTTTTGGAACTTTTTGAAAAATCTTCTGTTTAATAAAAACAATCTGGGAATCTTCACAGATATTTTAGCCTACCTAGCAGTTGGTAGGTGCTAATTGAACCATATATATATTTGTCAAAGTCAAAAGATGACATACAAAACTTGTGAGCTGGAGTTTAATTTCGAGGGATACATAAACAAACAACATGACTCCAGTGCACTGAGTGGATGGGACTCACCAACCTTGGATGGTGGCTTACAATAGAGAAGGAAACTCTGATTGCAAATTGTTGCCACCTTAAATAAATTTTAGCCAACTCCTGTGACAGCCCTGGGGCAAAGCTGTATCATCCACTTGATGTTCCCTTGGGTTTACCAGCAGGGTGGAGAAAGGGAATATGCTGACTGAGAACCAATTTATCCTCCTTAAAAAAAATCTCAGGACTTGTGATTCAGCAACCTCCACCCCCCCCCCCCCCCCACACACAAACAAATAAGAAATATAATAAAATCTAATGATATTCTGTTTAAAAGTTCTTGCACATTTATTTTTTAACAGAAAGAAAACCAGAGGGCGCTTCTTGAACAAAAGTACAAAGAAGATATTGAAGACTTACATCGACAAGTTACAGAATGCAAGAGGAGGGGGCAGGAGAGGGAGGAGGAACTAAACAAGGAGATCGCTAGTCTCAAGAAAATTATTAAAGATTTACAAGACCGCTCAGGTAATTTGGGACACTATTTTTCAGAGATTTGTATTTGTTTAATGGGGAAACTTGAAATTTAACATTTCTTTTCTTTAAAAAAAAAATACTTGTAGTATAGCCATGTTATGCCTTTAAAAAATTACAAACATAATTCTTGATAACGGTACCCACATTTAAAAAAGTTTAAACCATTATATTAAAATAGTAAATAAAAATATGTGTAAATGGAAGAGTCTAGCATTTAAAGGTTACTGCTATCTAAGTCCCCTTGAATAGAGCCCACTTTTGGTGTTAAAAATATTCCTGCTATCTTACGCCCCTTGAATAGCAAAACTGGATGGCTCTGATTCAGGGAAGATAACTGACTTACAAAACCAACTGGCCAAAATTCATCAACAACTGATAGATGCACAAAGTTCTGTCACACTGCTGGAAAATAGATTGAAGGAAGCCAAAGATGAGGTCTGGAAAGAAATTTAATTTGTTATATTCATTATTTGTAGTGTTACATACAACCAGAATCATAAGATTTTATTGGTTTATTCTGAAGATTACATTTATTTTTACCCTGCAGATTTTATTTACAATTTTTTTTTGGCAGATTTATATTGTGGCATCATTTTTCATATGTTTCGTTTTTATATCTTGCTTGCCATTGACACCATGCCACTTAACGTCCCAATCATTTCCACATTTCACTCCTAGGGACATCGCACATTCCACCATGATAAATAACAAAGTATGTAAATTTATGGCCGTGTGTCTTAACACTGTCACTGACCGCATCACCAAAAATTGAAAAAAAAACAAAAAAACTCTTTTTTCCATTTCATATTTCTATGTAAATATAAAATATATTTTTAAAAAATGTGTTTAATGATAAATGTAAAGTTAAAAGTAAATATAAGATTAAACTTAAACGCTACGTTAGCGCAAAAGGGCGGCAGCGGAAGTCGATGAGAGAAGTTTGAGATTTTCGCCGCCACCCCCTTTTGTTACTAAAATAAATGTTAAAAAAAAAAAAAATCTAAATTGTGTCTATTTGTATGACATTTTTTAAAATTTCAAAATATGAATTTGGCCTGTGTGTGTATGTGTGTTTGTATGTGTATTTGTATGTGTTGAAATTTTGGTGCATTCAAATTCTGTTTAATTTTATTAGATTAATATATTTGACCAGACTTGGCCAGTTAATAGATCTGAGCTATCAAAAAAAAAAAAAGGAAAAATTTGTTAAAATGCGCTTAATTAAAGAGATTGAAAAGAATGATAAAGATTTCACGTCACTTGAAATAAAATATTTGACCAATGGAAATAGGTTAAATTGAATATTAATCCAGGTTTCAAAAGTAAAATTTAACAGAATTTTCGCACTAATACATGTCAGTGTCTCACAAATACACGTCAGGTGTCTCACTAATACATGTCAGGTGTCTCACTAATACATGTCAGGTGTCTCACTAATACATGGCATGTTGTCTCACTAATACATGTCAGGTGTCTCACTAATACATGTCAGGTGTCTCACTAATACATGGCATGTTGTCTCTCTAATACATGTCAGGTGTCTCACTAATACATGTCAGGTGTCTCACTAATACATGGCATGTTGTCTCTCTAATACATGTCAGATGTCTCACTAATACATGTCAGGTGTCTCACTAATACATGTCAGGTGTCTACTCACTAATACATGTCAGGTGTCTCACTAATACATGTCAGGTGTCTCACTAATACATGGCATGTTGTCTCTCTAATACATACCAGATGTCTCACTAATACATGTCAGGTGTCTCTCTAATACATGTCAGGTGTCTCACTAATACATGTCAGGTATCTCACTAATACATGTCAGGTGTTTCACTAATACATATCAGTTGTCTAACTAAAACAGGTCAGTTGTCTCACTAATACATGTCAGGTGTCTCTCTCTCATGGTGACTTTCATCTCATTCTATTTGTGACCAGGCTCAGTTTCTTCAAGGAATTGTAAGGAAAGAATGTGAGGAAAGGTTTGAACTTACCGAGGCTTTAAGTGAAGCCAGAAAGGAACTGCTGCAGCTTAAGAAACCCCCAGGTAGGTCATGGTGTGTGAACTGATGGAGGTAAAAGACAACCCCAGGTAGGTCATGGTGTGTGAACTTCTGCAGGTCAAAGACACCCCCAGGTAGGTCATGGTGTGTGAACTTCTGCAGGTTTAAGACACCCCCAGGTAGTTCATTGCATTTGAACTTCTGCAGGTAAAAGACACCCCAGGTAGGTCATAGTGTGTGAACGTCTGCTTGCAAAAGACACCACCAGGTAGGTCTTGGTGTGAGAAAGGTGAAAAGGGTAATAATTCATGAACTGCTGTTTGCTAATTATACCGCCCTAACATCTGACACAAATGAAGGTCTCCAGTGCTAGTTGATTGTCTTTCACACGCTTGTCAACTGCAGAAAACACATTTGTGTCATGACGCAATAAGCACCGTCCCCTCCAATATCTATTGAGGGCCATAATCTGTCGGTTGTTGAGCATTTCACATACCTTGGATCCAACATTTCTAGTTCTCTCTCCGTTGATGAAGGAATAAACATAAAGAACACAAAAGCAGCAGCAACTATGGCTAAACTGAATAAGCAGGTGTGGAACAATCTCAATCTAACTGATAAAACAAAACTAAGTGTCTATCAGGCATGTGTGCTTAGTATGCTCCTATATGGCAGTGAAGTGTGGACGACATAGACCAGTCAGGAGTGGAAACTGAACAGATTGCGTCGCATTTTGCACTTTGGTGCCTAACTCAGAGGTTTCGGAACGTGCAAACATGATTAGCATATTCTTCGCTCTTAGCAAGAGGCGCGTTCACTGGTTAGGTCATGTAAGGAGAATGGAGAAGGGCTGTATCCCAAAGAAGCGGCTGTATGGAGAGTTGGCAGGAGGGACAAGACTTATTGGACGGCCAGGCCTGAGATTTATAGACGTTTGCAAAAGGAGCATGAGGGAAGCCAACATTGAAATAGAAAAATGGGAGCTCATTGCTGAACAACGTTCCAGCTGGTGAACAGCAGTGTATGAAGGAGTAAAAAAGGCAGAAGATATGCGAAACGAAGCCCTTGCGACAAACAAAAAAAAAAAAAAAAATACGGCCAAATCTAACCAGGAGGGAGCTCATTGCTGAACAACGTTCCAGCTGGTGAACAGCAGGGTATGAAGGAGTAAAAAAGGCAGAAGATATGCGAAACGAAGCCCTTGCGACAAACAAAAAAAAAAAAAAAAAATACGGCCAAATCTAACCAGGAGTCAATATTCTCCTGCGAGAAATACAGTTGAGATTGTCATTCCAGGATGGGCCTAGTGAGCCACGCGTCAAAGTGTAGTCCTACATGGCTCCTCCATCGACTTGCAAAGATGGAAAGATGCCATATAAAATTGAGAAGTTAGTTCAAGTATATTTGTTAGTTAAAAGAAGTAAATTTAGTAGTTAGTGCAAGTATATTAAATTGTTAGTTAATACAAGTATATGTTGTTTAATACAAGTATGTGGACATTGGTTACAGGTGGCTACTCAAGCATGCAAAAAAGAGGAAGTGTCCAAAGTACCCACTCCAGTCCCTCACCAGCCCCGCTGTCAGATGTCAGTGATCCTGCCATGCTCAAGTCAAAGCCACCTTTGCCCCCAAACAGCATCAATCTCAGCTACAGTGGGGACAGCCGCACCAACAGCAGCCATGATAAGAACAGCGATGTACAGCTGATGGAGGCCAGAAAGAGAATCTCTAACATGATGGGCAGAACATGACCAGAGGGACAGAACATGACCATGGGGACACAACTTGACCAGAGGGACAGAACATGACCAGTGGGACAGAACATGACCAGATGGACAGAACATGAACAGACTTTTAACAACAGTTTTATTTCATAATACAAACTTGTGTGTCGTGTTCAACAAAGGAAATTGTGTGTTCAGCGACCAGGGAAGCATGTGTTGAGGTCACTAGTGAGAGCATATGGATATGCACTCGTCATGGACACACCAAGCTACAATGCTAAACAATATCCTTTCTGTCTGCCCAGCACTCCAAAGAACATATTATGTATAAGACATAAATTATGTATTTTACCATGACATATGGTCACTATGTGGTTGACAGTTAGTAAAGGCACTGGCCGATCTACCCACCCTTGAAGGTTTAAATTACATTCATGATTCTATATAAATGTGTTGGTGCAAGGATTCTTCATTTTATTTTGTCATTCCCTCCCTTGGACAAATAACCTATTTCCGCCCAAACACACAGAATGTACCAACCCTCTTCCAAAATAGTTCCTTATGACTGCTGCCAGCTTACCAAACCATTTACTCTGTATTCAATGTTTGGAAGCCAGACTATGATGTATTAATTTTCTGTAAGACTTTTGATAAAGATTTGTCATGTGGTTATCCCATGCTGATGTGAACTGAATGCTAACATTACAGAGGCTAACTTTGTAAACTTTAATGTAATCTTTCAAGGAATGAATATGTAAATGATTTCTGCACGTTGACATAAAACATAATTGCAACTGTAAATGTATTAATTTAATGTATTAAAAAAATAGTTTTAGAATAATTTGTATTGATTATTACATATATATATACATGTATTTTGAAATGTCAATGGTGGATAGAAATCAGGCATGATAAAAAGTGAAGAAAAAAAGTTTAGTAAAATATGGTATGTATTTTCAGACTTGATTATTTGAATGATTACAAGTGTAGAAGCTGAAGTGCTGATGGTGAAAGATGAATTGATATAATTCGTATGTATTTTTGTAAATGAATGTCACATTGGAATGAGGACAGGGCAGAGAGTGACCAACAGAAAGGTCACTTGTAGATGAAAGACTTGACCCAGATTACAAGAGAACCTGATGATAGACACCATTTTTAACTTGGCAGTAGAAGGAATAGAATCATGATGATATGTTTATTTAGATTCTTATCATTTTGCCATGAAACAGAACATCGGGGTGAGGGGGTAGAGGGGCTGAAACAAAACTTTGTAATAGTAAGAAGTTTTTTGCCATACGGTTCCTATGTCAGGAAAAACTGTAATTTCTTAGTTTAACTTTGCAGACACAAAGTTTAGGAATTTCACTAATGTTAACGGCCCTGATTTTTGTGTGTGCAAAATTAACCATTTTTATCGGGGACCCTGTTACTGTTACATTGTAACAAGACTCTTGTTAACCCCAGCTGTGTTCTGGAACTGAAAGCCCCACAACTCGGTAAAAAAAAATGGAATATTGCATATAAACTGTGAAAAGAAGAGACATTTATTTCTAAGTAGAAACAGAAATTTCAAGGTGAACAAAGGACAGCCCTTGGATACAAACAAAGGACAGCCCTTGGATGCAAACAAAGGACAGCCCTTGGATGCAAACAAAGGACAGCCCTTGGATACAAACAAAGGCCAACCCTTGGATGCAAACAAAGGTCAGCCTTTGGATGCAAACAAAGGACAACCCTTGGATGCAAACAAAGGACAGCCCGTGGATACAAACAAAGGACAGCCCGTGGATGCAAACAAAGGACAGCCCGTGGATGCAAACAAAGGACAGCCCGTGGATGCAAACAAAGGACAGCCCGTGGATGCAAACAAAGGACAGCCCGTGGATGCAAACAAAGGACAGCCCGTGGATGCAAACAAAGGACAGCCCGTGGATGCAAACAAAGGACAGCCCGTGGATGCAAACAAAGGACAGCCCGTGGATGCAAACAAAGGACAGCCCGTGGATGCAAACAAAGGACAGCCCGTGGATGCAAACAAAGGACAGCCCGTGGATGCAAACAAAGGACAGCCCGTGGATGCAAACAAAGGACAGCCCGTGGATGCAAACAAAGGACAGCCCGTGGATGCAAACAAAGGACAACCCGTGGATGCAAACAAAGGACAGCCCGTGGATGCAAACAAATAACAGCCCGTGGATGATCAAAATGTTAAATTATTAAATCTATTTTTTTAAAAACAACACACAATGTTTAATTTCTTTCATACCAATACTATACTACTACCAGCTGTATCAATACTACACTTGTACCAGCTGTATCAATACTATACTAGTAACAGCTGTACCAATACTATACTACTACCAGCTGTATCAATACTACACTAGTACCAGCTGTATCAATACTATACTAGTAACAGCTGTACCAATACTATACTACTACCAGCTGTATCAATACTACACTAGTACCAGCTGTATCAATACTATACTAGTAACAGCTGTACCAATACTATACTAGTACCAGCTGTACCAATACTACACTAGTACCAGCTGTACCAATACTACACTAGTACCAGCTGTACCAATACTACACTAGTACCAGCTGTATCAATAATACACTAGTACCAGCTGTATCAATACTATACTAGTAACAGCTGTACCAATACTATACTAGTACCAGCTGTACCAATACTACACTAGTACCAGCTGTACCAATACTACACTAGTACCAGCTGTACCAATACTATACTAGTACCAGCTGTGCCAATACTATACTAGTAGCAGCTGTACCTACCAATACTATTCTAGTACCACCTGTACCAATACTATACTAGTAACAGCTGTACCAATACTATACTAGTACCAGCTGTACCAATACTACACTAGTACCAGCTGTACCAATACTATACTAGTACCAGCTGTACCAATACTACACTAGTACCAGCTGTACCAATACTATACTAGTACCAGCTGTGCCAATACTATACTAGTAGCAGCTGTACCTACCAATACTATTCTAGTACCAGCTGTACCAATACTATACTAGTACCAGCTGTATCAATACTATACTAGTACCAGATGTACCAATACTACACTAGTACTAGCTGTACCAATACTATACTAGTACCAGCTGTGCCAATACTATACTAGTAAAAGCTGTACCTACCAATACTATTCTAGTACCAACTGTACCAATACTATACTAGTACCAGCTGTACCAATACTATTCTAGTACCTTCCGCAAAATAGATCCTCATAAAAGCCCACCAGTTCTCAAATTTGGAGCCCTCAAGCAGGGCCGTGCCAAAGGGGCGCCATCTTCGGGAGGACGCCAAATTCGTAATTTTTCATGACAAAAAAAAAAGTGTATTAACATCTACATTTTAGAAACACGGCGTCATTTGACTGCTACGGCCTTGACCTCAGGACATAACAATAGACAAAACGTTTACCAAGAATTGGTTTATTCTTAGAGCATTTCGCGGAATCAGCTGAGTGACCTCACGGCATTAATTGTTCATCTTTGAGTTGCAAGTGGCATCAATTGCATCATGAGTTATTTAAGTCATCTTTATTTTTAAAGTGTTCAACTAGACCAAACCGGCATTATAGAACACTTGGTCAGCGTAAGCCACACTTATAAATAAATGAATCGGGCCAACTTTGTCAGTTATCTCACGGAAGAGTTTGTCCATTTGTTCATCCTTATGACCATATCCTGACATCAAGGTCACTGGCAAATATTGGACAGGAATCTCCAATCGTCTTGTGGTCCCTGTGATAGGTTTGTTCTTCTGGTTCCTTGCACTATTTGTAGAGTCCAGTTCTTGATTGACAAATACTTGATTGGTTGAAAGACTCTGGTGGTGACCTGCCTGGGATGGGGATAGTGGAAGATATAGATTTTTAAATTAGTCGAATGTCCGCAAGATGTAAAATCATTGGATGCAAAAGAATTTTGTCCTGCATTAGAAAAGACCCGTCACTATTGGTAGGAAGTGAAAATGATTTTCATGACATAGAACTTGCTTTTTGTTTTTTTTTAATTATTTATTGTTTTTTCTAGATAAGCTGTGACTTAAGCTTAAATTGTATTTTATCATAAACTAATGAAATATTAAAGCCAGAAATGAAAAGTTTAAGCCAAAAATGAAATAGTCAAGCCAGAAATGAAATATTTAAGCCTGAAATGGAATATTCAAGTCAGAAATATTTAAGCTAAAATTAAAATATTCGAGCTAAAAATGAAATATTCAAGCTAAAATAATTATTCAAGTCAGAAATGAAATATTTAAGCTAAAAATAAAATATTCAAACAAAAAATGAAATATTCAAGCTAAAATAAAATATTGAAGTTAGAAATGAGCTTAAATTAAATACATGAACATGTGTATGTAACCTATTTTGAAAAGCTCGGTGGGCGATTATTCTACCAATACATCATCAACAGCATTTTATAAGTTCGGAACTCAAAATATCTAATGACGCAAATAAAGGGTAACGACTGCTCAATTTAGAATTCAGCGCATAACTATTTAATGTTTATACACTTAATTTGTAACTAAACTTGGTTAGAAAAAAATTAAAATTTACATTCCATTAAAGTTTAGGAACAAATCATTTAATGTACCTGGAATGAATTAGTTAAATGTAGGCGACCTACCAGGAGAACTCTGTCAAGAGAAACTGTTGGAGATATTGTCACATTCCACGAGAGTTGTTCATAGGAGGACACGACTAAGATCAAGTTGATGTCATTGTCGCTGAGCACAGTCAGTTGAGTTGTTGGCCTTTTGTGGTTTCCATAGACGTGAATGACATGAACGAATGATTTTTGGCCTGTGATTGGTGAGACGAGTGATTGTTGGCCTGTGATTGGTGAAACTGTGGATGGTTGGCCTGTGATTGGTGAGACGAGTGATTGTTGGTCTGTGATTGGTGAAACTGTAGATGGTTGGCCTGTGATTGGTGAGACTGTAGATGGTTGGCCTGTGATTGGTGAGACGATGGATGATTGGCCTGTGATTGGTGAAACGATTGATGATTGGTCTGTGATTGGTGTGGATACGGATGATTGGACGGTGATTGGTGAAACTATGGATGTTTGGCCTGTCATTTGTGAGACAACGATTGGTTGAACGATGATTGGTGAGACAATAGCTGGCTGCCTAGTTGTTGAAAGATTTGATGTTGAAACTTCACCAGGTAAGTCGGGTGATGATCGACTGACGTTGGGTCTGCTGGCAGCATAAATATGACCAGTCGGCACAGGTAGAGTATTTAAAGGACTAGACTTTATCCGACTATAAAGTGACCTTGACGTGGCACTGGGTGCTAACCCGGAAGTAGAAGCTTTATGTGCTCCAATCGATTCCTTATCCTCGTCTTTGTGTCTTGATTTCGAGATTGATTTCGAGAGAACATCTAGGTCAAAATCAACATGACCCACGCGATCCTTTGTTGATAAAACCTCCTGACCCACGTGATCTTGTCTTGATAAATCCACGTCACCATTACGATCACGCCTCTCTTGTAACTTTGCATCTTTTGATTTGGAAAACCCGTTGAACGTGGCAGCGAGCCTTTCATGCATTGTCTGTTCTGTGGCGTGCAGTGTGATCAGTGAGCTCATTGTTCCGGTCCGTCCTCGGGATGACCCATCTGTCCAGCTCTTAACTGTTGCGGTTTCACCCTGAGGAGGTTCTCTCGACTGGTCAAGTCCATGGACACACGCGTATGCATTCTGTGGATGACCAGCAAAGAAAGCTGTCAGCAGCGGAGACGCCCTGTAGAGTCGCATGTGACACCTCGTCAAGTTTCCTGGAGAAAACAAACATAAAT